TTGCATTCTTTGGGCACTGTGGAAAATGGTCCAGAATGACCAAACAATTTTCCATTGGTTCAGCTGCTGCATTATGTAAGAGAATAATAAGGAAAGACAGCCACTTTATATCATTTAGATGCATCTCCTTAGCGCTGATTTCACAAGGTGTCATCCCATTTGCATCAAACCAGAGCTCTACTTGCCCTACTTTTCTTGCATGTATTTACATCTCATCTTCTTCTCCCACACCTGACATTAGACCCCCACCCCCATCCCCAAATTTTACATGGAAGCATCACTTTTGGTACTATTGAAAAGTTATAATACAGGAGGAAAATGTTCTTTTTCTCTCCCCCCCCCCTCAAACAAAATAGAGTGTTAATGACTTCCACGTAACATTTTTCTCGCTCACCGCGGGGGGAAGAAACAAATACGAGTACTTCTGTCAAAGAAAGAGAACGAACAATGTTTGCAGCGCCGTTGCTCTGCATAGGAAGAACTTCTTAGATTGATCAAAGCCTGTTTCCATGCAACCATAACAACATTTGCGCTTTACATCCAGATTTTTTTTTCAACAACACCTCACCCAGGCTTTAGGGGAGCAAAGAGGCAAAACAACATGGAAGATAACACTTTAATTTCTGCAACTGACATCTCTCTCCCCGACTGAAAAGCAAAGCAATGGAGCTTTACAAAACGACAGGATTCCATGGTGTTTCCACGAAATCCAAATAAATAAATAAATACAATCTTAATTCCCCCCCCTTTTTTTCCTGAAGTGGTGTTTTATATATGAATATAAATCTTTTTCCCTCAGATCGCCTTCAACCCCACAAAATGCGCGCCCCGCCGGAGCAAAGCTAGCAGAAGCAAAGCTGGCCGCGAGTTCTTGCCAAGCACGCCGCCTTCCTCGCCTTGGCAGGCGCCCTTCCCGCCCGCGCGTCAGAGGCTCTTTCGGGTGGCTGACTCTTTCTGGGGGTCTTTTTACTCACTTTCAGCTGAGATTTGGAGACTTTGCCGCTTTTCTCGGCGTCCAAAGCCGTGAAGGCGTACCAGATCGATTTTAAGAGCTCCGTCCGAAGCTCCATGATGCCTCCAGGGCAGGGCACCAGGCACAGAATCTGCTCGCTCAGCGGGGAGGAACCTCCCTCCAGCGGTCGCGAAAGTCCCGGCGAAGTGCTCAAACCGTTCATGGCAGCCGACGGGGCCAGCTCTGGAGCTGTAGCGCCTCCCCCTGGTGGTTCAAGCCGCCTCGCTGGCCTCCTTCTCCCCTGTACAATTGGTTTGTTTTTCAGTCATCCTATGCCATCCGTCCGGTAAACTCGCAACATTCGTTTTTCTCGCCGTGTACATGGATACACCGGAACTAAACTGTGTTCTCTGTGTCATATATATGAGTATATGCGTGTGTGTGTTTGTGTGTGTATGTTTGTGTGTTGTATATTGGAGGTGAGGCCCCTTTGAAAGCCGTATGCAACAAAAGCTGTATATATGGCAATTAATGTACATTTAAAGTGACAATGAAGTTATTCTACGTCATCTGAAGATGTAATAAATACAAAGAGGAAGGGGGAAAAAACTTCTCATCTCATTAAACCCAAAGGAAGTCTCCAATGTGGGCAAGATTCTAGATCCCTCATGTCCCGGTTGTGTGAGTGCTTACTCTGGATTTAAACTCACTGATTTTAATATAGCAATAGCACTTAGGCTCATATTCTGCTTCACAGGGATTTACAGTCCCCTCTAAGCAGTTTACAGAGTTGGCATATTGCCCCCAACAATTTGGGTCATTTTACCGACCTCAGAAGGATGGAAGACTGAGTCAACCTTGAGACCGTCAGAGTGAAACTCCTGGCAGTCAGCAGTAGCAGTTTGCATTCTAACCACTGCACCACCACAATATAACTTGTTGAATTAATCCAAGTTTGGAACTAAAATTAGGCGGTTTAACAAGACACGCATTTGAAGAAGTGTTTTGCCTACTCTTGCTTATACAGCCACAATGGCACCATTCAAATAAAACTGAGAAACTGGCAGCCCCAAAAAGAGACTGAAAATGAGGTGAGGGACAGAAACAAAACAAAAAAACTGTAGAGCAAAAAGGTGGGGAGGGATGGGAGGCAGACTAGATGGACTAAGCCTGCTCTGCAATGGGTCTTTAAGCAACAGCAGGAAGGAGGATAGAAAAGGACACAAATTAGTTTGCGGAGATAGGAATGAAGTATTACGGCAGCAACTGTAGTCACCACTTTGGAGAGAAATGTGTTTCCTGTTATTCATTTGTGTTACATTTGAAGTTTAGTGGTAGATTTCAGTTGTCTTTCTGTGAAAAATGCATGCTGAATACCCAGGTAGCCAATAAAAATACAATTTTAAAACAATATTTTAAACTTGCTTGCTACAAGTATTATTATTAAGACCACACTAAGATGCTGTTTATGGTACCAGGTTGTTTGGAAACGGCAAATGCAATCTTATACAGGTAGTCCTTGATTTACAACCATTTATTTAATGACCATTCAAAGTTACAACAGCAATGAAAAAAGTGATTTATGACCATTTTTCACACTTACGTTGCAGCGCTCACCCTCATGGCCATGTGATCAAAATTCAGATATTTGGCAACTGGCATATATTTATGATAGCTGCAGTGTCCCAGGGTCATGTGGTCACCTTTTGTGATCTTCTGGCAAGAAAAAGTTAATGGAGTAGCCAGATTCACTTAACTATGTTACTAAGAACTGCAGTGATTCACTTAACAACTGTGGCAAGAAAGGTCATAAAATGGGTGCAAAATTCACTTCTGACTTGCTTAGCAGCAGAAAATTTGGGTTCAATTGTGGTCATAAGTTGAGGACTACCTGTATGATTACTCTAAAAGGCGGCTTATTGGCCTTGGACTATAATATAAAACTTTGCATTATACTTAATTGGGAATGGGAGAACTTGCCCCAGCCAATTCACCATGGCCAACTCGTTGCTGCCAACTTATCAGGGCCAACTTGCTGCGGAATAATTCGTTGTGGGACAAGAGTTACACTAATATGAAAGGGACAATGTAACAATTCTACTTAATTATTTAAAATAAATATATTTTAATTTTTGCCATTCACATTTCATTCTGTCTCTCCTTTTGCATCCTTTCTTTAATAATTTTGTTCCACCATTTCTTTGATATTAGTGTAAATCTTGTCCCACAGCAAATTGATTACAGCAAGTTGACAGTGGTGAGTTACTGTGATGAGTTGGCCATGGCAAATTGTTATAGACCCTTCTTAATCATTGGGAGTAAATCCTGTTAAACACACTGCTAGGATTTATTTACATTAAAAATCCATATTTTTATTCTTAGTATGCGCAACTGTTTAAAAAATGGTAGAGCTTAAAAATCTTTTAAAGAGTTCCCGCATACAATGTATTTACAAATTTTTTTCTTTGAATCAGTAATTGCAGTGAAACATGCTTTGTCAGGCTGGAGAAAACCACCAGGGGTGTCAAACTGATTTTGTTACGGTGGCGTCACTGACATATTGGGACTTTCCCCCCCTTTGCTAAACCAGGTGTGTGCATGGCCAGAACATGACGCATCCGGCCCATAGGCCCAGGAGTTTGACAGCCGTGATCTAGATAATGTCTCAATTACATTATTAAAGTAAGTATTTTTCCAAAAGTTGCAAGTACTTTCTGAATTTTATTAGCAATGGCCTATTTTTCCTTAAGTTGCATTTTACTAAATGTATCACTTATGCTTGTAATGATATTTTCATATTTAATAGTGTTATTAATTATAGAAGAAAATAACACTTCTAATATTTTAATCACACTGCAATCTGAATAGCAAGAAAAAAACAAGTCCAATTTGTTCTGATCACAAAAGAATTTGTAAAAACATGAAATCATTTACTTCAAATGAATGGGGTAAATTCTCTTTTCCTAAAAATTCAGCTTAAGGTACAGTGTGATCCAGGACTTTTGGAAAGACAAGTAAACTCCATTGAATTGCTTCACACTTTCTGTTCAGAGAAGACTGATTAGCATTGTACTGTGCATTTCACATTGAAATATATGATACCATGTTGGATAAAATACAATTTTTCTGTCCAGGCTATATATTCTACTTTCTTTTTTTTTTAAAGCAAACATTAGGAAAGACTAAATGTTCCAAATTATATACCTTTCAAAAATTCCAATTTGGTCTGCAGTTCTAAAATGCTGTGTAGAAATTGCATTCCAGTTAAAACTTTGCATCCCATTTCAATTCATGCTTAGCACCAAATACTATTGACTTGGACTTCAGCAAACTAGTATGTTTAAGGTGGAGTCACACAGCCCCAACCCTAGGTAGAGATGGAAAGAGCAAAGCAACCTGAAAAATTCAGTGGATTTAGACTACAGCTTAGCTTTGAATAATGCAACATTTTCTGTGCCTCTAAGAAAGCTACAGAAGTTTAAGAATTTAAGAATCTCCCAGAATTAACTACTAGTTTATCCTGCAAAGTACTTTTCATTTTCAGGTCTAGAAATATGGGTAGAAAAGCTAATTCTTTTTGAGATTAAAATATTACGTCATGCAACCGTATTATTTTGGCTACAAGGTTTTCGTCTACCAAATAATCCACAATTGAGTGTTCTAACCATTTTAATCAGTTCCATGCCTTTTGTTTTTAATAGGTATCTACTGCTCAGTTAAATATATAAATATCATCATTATATTTTCACATTACCAAAACAAAAAAACAAAAAAAACCAACCCAGCTAATTTGTCTGTGGCTGGGAATTTATCTGGGAATTCTTAAAAGTCAAATTGGTGTTGAAAATCCTAGCAGCAGTGCCTATTCCACTTTTCCTTTAAAGGGAAAAAAGGAAGGTATTGTGAGAAGTACAGGAGACAATGAAAAATGTGTGCATTTGGGACCTATCGTTCTTTTGTCCAAACATTGTGAAGATAGTTATGACTACTACCCAAAATAAATAAAGAATGAAAAGGAGAAAAGTAAGATTTGAGATCTGGCAGCAGCTTCATTAATTCTCTTTATTCTTTGACCTCATTCTCAAAGGAATTAAAGTTCTGATTTGTCCAAATCAAAGCACAAAGAGGAACACTCATTTTTCTTAAGCCAATTTCTATTTCAGTGTTGCAGCTTAACCACATACTGTAAAGTTATTGTTTTGGAATTAAGTGCTGGGATCAAGTATAAACACAAAAGAAAGGGGCAATGGCTGAGCAAAGTTTCACAATTGTATAATGGAATATTTCCAAGGATACAAGCCTAAAGGAGATGAGGTCCTACCAAAAAGTCAAATAGCACTGTACACGTCAAAGCTTGTAACTGAACAACCGAGTAGGAGATATTGTCCATACACTTAGCAGTACAATATTATTTCATGAATTACAGCAGGCAGTAATACAATAAATATTGTAGTAGATGATGCTTTTAAAACAATCTTCTGTGTCCAGCAAGCTTACTGGATACAACAGTTTTCTTCTTTCCGATTATATAACATGCATTTTGATGGCAGAATACCATATCCCAGTGATGGCGAACCTATGGCATGCGTGTCACAGGTGACATGCAGAGCCCTCTCTGTAGGCACGCAAGCAGTCTCTCCAGCTGAGCTCCACCGCACATGAGCCTCCTGCCAGCCAGCTGATTTTTGGTTCTCTGCCGTGCAGGGGGAGGGGCACATGCAGGAGACACGTACACATGTGCAGGATGGGGGGGGTCTGGAGTGCATGCATGGGGGTAGGAGGAGTGCAGGGGGTTACAGCGTGGCCCTCCTGCAGCCTGTTTTTGCTCCCAGGAGGCTGCAGAGAGGCCTACTAAGCCCAAAATGCCTCCCCCCATAGCCCATTTTTGCTCCCAGGCAACTGCAGGGAAGCGCACTAAGCCCAAAATGGGGCACAGGGGGTCACGCATGCATGCATGGAGAGAACAAGGGTGCAGATGCATGCACGTGCACACGCTTTCAGCTCGTAACGATAAAAAGGTTAGCCATCACTGCCATATCCTATCTGGGTCATGTGAGCAATCTGTAGTCTGATTCTGTGTGGCCCATAAAACCTCACCACTTTTTATAGTTAATAAAACAACACTTATTACCATTGAGAAATGACCAATTTCATTAGGATTGGATGTATACTGAAAAGTCTCTTTTCTCTACCATCACCACAATTCTTGATAAAAATTACTGCTTCTTGACTATTAATTAGGCAACAAGGAAACATGTTTTTTTTTACATTAATCACTAGTGGTAAGAACTAGTTTAAAATCCCTTCCTGATCTTGTTAGGATTCCTGGGGGCAGGAAAATCTATACTTAATTTTCAAAATTTACTAAATCTATAGGACTAAAAGAGGAATTGAATGGTACAGCTGAAGATGTTACCAGTACTGAAAACAGAAAAACAATTTTATTTTTTTAAAAATACATATCCAAACCTATTATATCTTCAGAGTGAAAGAAAATAAAACATTCCACAGAACCAATTTAATATACCTCCAAGTTCAATGTAGATTTTTACCTTTCTATTTAGACTCTTGCTAAGATTTAGAATAACTCTGGTATATTGGGGGGAGGGAGGAATAGCAATAGCAATAGCAGTTAGACTTATATACCGCTTCATAGCGTTTTCAGCTCCCATAATGCTATTGCTTGTCCCCATTGCTATATATCTTGGAACTTCCGCTGATAATCCCATCTAGAGGACATTTCATTGCTTTCATACTGATACTTCTCTAGGACAGTGTTTCTCAACCTTGGCAACTTTAAGATGTATAGACTTCAACTCCTAGCATTCTGAGAGTTGGTCCATCCATCTTAAAGTTGCTGAATTGAGAAACACTGCTCTAGGATATGGAGTAGCTGTGATCCCTTTCTGGACATTCACCCCTAAATACATACATTATAAAATTCTGAAATGATAAAAGTTCTTGTTGCTGAAATCCAATAAAAGTCTGATATTAAATATTTTCTAATCCAAAAGTTGCCATTCCATTAATATGTATCAGAAATGAAAAAGTTCCAAATGATAAGACAAACCCCATCTCAGATGAGTTGATTTCTTAAAGCTTATCACAGATCCATTTGTTTAAAAAGTGTCAGGCAAAAATGTTGCTTCATCATCTGCTCTTGTCAGTTATCAATATCTACTGACTAGCAGTGAACAATTCTTAAAAATTCTCTCCAGGTCCAATTTACTTCATGGTCATCTGACTCCTGAACTGCAGGCCCCTGTAGAATCTGTTGTCTGTCCAATGACTTTTGTTTCTATATCACTCTTCACTCCTGTCAAGTGTTCAAGATAAAATCTCAACATCCATTTTTCAGTTTAGCTTCTTGGTGAACTGGTGTAGTTATCATACTGATTGTACTTTCCAGGCTCTGCTGCATTTCCAACTAGAAAAGAAAACGATAGTACATTATTTTCAAACATTCAAATTGGTTTGAGCCTGCAGTTGGAGGAGTGATAAAGAATACAAGCAGGAATTTCCTTAACTTCCTTAACTCTAAGGAAGAAAAATGATTTTTGATTCCATACCTTTTGCTTTGAAAACACTCTCAATTTTCAAAATAATTTGTACAACTCTCTTGTACTACTTTCAGAAAAGTGTGAAATATGGGCCAATAATGCTTTCAAGAATTTCATTGTATTCTTTAGTAGACAAAAACTGAATCTGGGAGTTGCTTGGTTGAGGAGATCAGATGAACAACACGTGAAGCAAAAAATGACTCAGGTCTATATATTCAAATACAGTATATTCCATGTAATAGAACTGCATGTGGTGAGGAGATAAATGCATGGGGCCATTTAAAGTGTTGCTCAAATGGATTCTTGTAAAATACATCTGCTCAAAGAATTTATATAATACATAAGGTAAGAGGCAAAAACACACCAGAAGCAAATAACCCTTTCACATAGCAATGATTGCTTAATATAGTGGCTGCAATTTGTTTTAAAATAATAACTATCTTAAAGAAAGGATGGAAGTGGTGAGTGACTCCTTTTTTCATCAGTCCTGCAATGCAATAAGAACCATTTGCCTTTCCAAATGAGCTGGCATTTTCTTTTTTTTTAAAAGATAAATTTAGCTGTAGGCTTCTACCCTGTCCTAGAGTTAGTCTGTGGTGTCAACTGGCTCTTAAAGTAGGGATGTGGAAGCAGCTTGATTTTGGAAGAAAGGAATATAACAAAAAAGAACCAAATGTGCTAAATTTATTTTAAACAAAAACACTGCCAAATTAACAGTTACTGGCTTTGCTTTATATGAATTATTTAAAATGACAAGAGCTGCTGCTTATTAGTGGTTATTATTGGAACTCTTATATGCAGAAGTAGAAGTAAGGCAAGGAGGAAGCAAAGAAAAAAACATACTGAATAATGTGGAAATATAAAAAGTGCAGTGTGGGAAAATACTATAAAAGATATATTTGGGGAACATAATATATAGATGTATCATTCAGTTTTAATAATATTTTGCATGCCTATATGCAAATCAGTTCACCTATTCTAATGTCTTTCAGTGTATGGAAACTCAATTTCATCACTCAGACAAAATGGCTATGTTCTATATATACCCAGCCAACTATAATTTATTGAACGTATCATGGCTTAACATGATGTGTGAACCCGGTTGGCAAGCATGTGTCAAGCTTCCTTTAAACTGCGGGGGGAAACTGGGAAGTTTTCAGATTTGGGTTAATGTCAGGGTTCCAAATAGCATCCAAAAGTAAAGTCCAAGGCAAAGTATTGCTCAAAGTTCCAATTTATTAAGAGAGCCATGTTGGCACNAGAATTCCCCAGCCAGCATTCGCTGGCTGGGGAATTCTGGGAGTTGAAGTCCGGACATCTTCAAGTTGCCAAGGTTGAGAAACACTGCTTTAAGCGGCCAAGGGAAAAAAGTCAGATCCATCTCCAATAGCCGTACCTTATTAATTTAACAATCTATTGTTTTTTGTGGTCATCTCACAGGATAAACAAGATCAGCATCATTCTTTATGAGCTGAATCAATAAACGAGTCCTTGGAGAGATTTATGTTGGCTGGCCCTACCCAACTGCAAATAACTCTGTGTGGCTCACAATATAACAAAGAAAACAACATATAACACAATTCAAAAGCATAACCAGCAAAAAAACCCACAATTAAGCAGTCAAAAAATCAAGACAGTTAAAGATATTGTCTAAAGTTTACCTGTATGGATCCTCATGTGATTTTTGTAGTTGGTGGCACTAGTGAAACCCCTTCCACAGTTGGGCTCTGAGCACATATATGGTCGCTCTCCTGTGTGTGTTCGTATATGGACCTTGCGTATATTGGAGGTGGTGAAAGAGCGGCCACAGCCTTCAAAGGGGCACCGGAAGGGCCGCTCACCTTGATGGGGAGACCGGACAGAAGAATCCTTAGTTAATCATTAAAAGCCATAGAAAATTCAAGGTAAGATTATTTCATTCCCTTTTTCATACTATGGTTAGTCTTTAGCTTAAAACTACAATTGGGACCAAAATTTCTGTTCATAAACATGGGACTTTTTAAGTGAGTCACATTCAATTTTATGGACCTTTTTTGCCATGGCTGTTAAGTGAATCCATCTTCCCCCATTGACTTTCCTTATCGGAATCCAGCTGAGGTCACAAATGGCTGAGTGCCGTGAACCTCACAAATGGCGACCACATCACCCAGCATGCTCAACTATCGTAAATGCATGTAGGTTGTCAAGCACCCAAATTTTGATCATGTGACTGTGGGGATGCTATGACAGTCATGTGCAAAGACTGGTCATAAGTTATCTTTTTTAGTGCTTCTGTAACTCTGTTTAGTTGATAAGTTGAGGACTAGCCTATGACAATCGTTTTTGATCTCACTTTATTTTTAGTTTAATTTTGCACAGCTAAATATTAAAATGCACATGAACCTAGATTAGCTGAACAATGTATACCAGCGGTTCTCAACCTGAGGGTTACAACCCCTTTGGGGGTCGAACAACCCTTTCACAGGGGTCGCCTAAGACACGGGCGTACGCTGCCCTCTTCTGACAGTCGCCTGGTTAAAAAGCCATCCCCCGCGGCATTTTTCCCTGGGGAGCTCTGCAGAACATCCCAAGACAGATGCCACATCTGCCCTCTTTGGGACAGGTCCTCTTCAGAAGGACAAGGCCCCGCTGGTCCCCTTCGTGTTCCTTGCCTTCCAGCCATGGCCCCACACATTGGAAAACATAGGCGCGTGCATGCCTCGCACAATTACAGCCCGGAGCAGGACCAAAGCCCCACTCTAAACTGGGCCTTCCTCCCTCGGAGGGCTTCGGGGGGAAGCTTCTGCAGAAGCCCGGATGAGTGAGAACAGGTTCCCACCTTTACAAAGTCTCTGAGGCTGTAATTGTATGGGGTGTGTGCACGCGCCTATGTTTTTCACAGCGTGGAGCCACGGCAAGGCTCTGGACAGCCAGTGATGACTCCCGAGCCCATCCGCGGGGGACGGGATTCCCCTCGCATTCCTCGTCTTCCCAGATGGGCTCCTGAGTCATAGCCAGCCACGCAGAGTGAGGCTCCACCGTGGAAAGCATAGGTGCGCGCACACACACCCCATGCACAATTACAGCCTTGGAGTCTTAGTTAACGGCGGGAACTTGTTCTCACTTGCCGGGGCTTCTGCAGAAGCTTCCCTCCAAAGCCCTCCAAGGGAGGAAGTGCCAGTTGGGAAAGGGTCTTTGGTCCTGCTCCGGGCTGTAATTGCATGGGGCGGGGGGTGCCTATGTTTTCTATGGTGTTGGGCCGCGGCTGGAAGATGAATGCGAGGGGGACCAGCATGGCCTCGGCCTTCTGAAGAGGACCTGTCCCAGAAGAGGGGAGATGTCATGGCATCAGACTTGGGATGTTCTGCGGAGCCCCCCAGGGAAAAATGCCGCTGCAAGGTACTTTTAACCATATATTTTGTTCCTATGACTGCGGAATGCTGCAAAAAATCATAAATGCAGGCCAGTTGTTGAGTGTTTCAAATGTGATTGGAACACTCAACAAGGTGACAACAGTATGTGTGTCTGTGTGTGCGTGTGTGTGTGAGAGAGACAGAGACAGAGAGGGAGGGAGGGAATCAGAGAGACAGACAGACATACAGAGAGAGACAGAGAGAGAGAGACAGAGAGGGGGAGGGTGGGAGAGACAGACAGACAGACAGAGAGACACATACACACACACACAGACACAGAGTGAGTGATTGAGTAAGTGACAGACAGACACACACACAGAGAAACAGAGAGAGGGAGAGAGAGAGAGATAGACAGAGATAGACACACACACAGAGTGAGAAACACACACACACACACACAGAGTGACAGAGATGGAGGAGGGAGGAGAGAGACAGAGTGATACAGAGAGAGAGACAGACACACAGAGAGAATGACAGATAGAGACAGAGAGGGAGAGAGAGAGAGAGAGACAAAGAACAAGAAAGGAAGAAAGAAAAAATAAAAAGAAAGAAAGAAAAAGAAAGAGAACATGACCACAATTGAGCCCCAAATTTTGGTTGCTAAGCAAGAGCGCCGTTAAGTGAGTTTCACCACATTTTGTGCAACTGTGCAATGAGCTGGATGCGCCGAACAGTGCACTGCTATTTCACATTGCGCATAGTGTCGCAAAATGTA